AAACCCTAAACCCTAAACCCTAAACCCTAAACCCTAAACCCTAAACCCTAAACCCTAAACCCTAAACCCTAAACCCTAAACCCTAAAGCCTAAAGGCGCTCCGAATGCTGCTGTCATTCACAATAGATCCACCAGTGTCTCTGACGCCAATCACGTCCAGAGTGTCGCTAGGCTGGTCTCCCGTCTCTCTGCTGGCCTTGCAGCGGGCCAGTAGCCGAATAGAGAGTTTTTCGCACGCGTCACTTACAAGCACGCCTGGCCACATATGAGAAGACACAAAGAGACATGAAATGATACACAACATATGGATCCTCACTCACCGTAGGGAATCATAATGTCTGTGACCAGATCGAAGCACCCGAACCTGCGAGATGTAACACAGATCGATTTGCGCCGCATTTGTGCCATAATCGAGAAGCCTATTGACATACATGAAGGAGGTGAGTATTTTACGCAGACACACATACACACACACGCATTCACTGCCAAGAGGTCAAGAGTGATACATCTATGCATTTGGACTTTACTGATGTGGTGAGAAGTTGCTCATTCTCGCTTGCACCATTCTGCCATGCATTCCACATCAACAGCATTCATACAATAGTAATGTCACTGGGTCTGGTTATCGAGGAAACAAAGAGTAGGCCATGGCTGCAAAAACAAGACTTGGTGCCGTCTGACTGCAAGGACCTTCTCGTATGGCGCGATTCGTCGCCGCCACTGAGAAATACGGATACGAACAGACAGGCGATGGCATACGTATTGAAACCAGTCGCATATTCATATATGTGTTCATATCAATCTACTACGTACTGAGTGCGAGAACGGGCAATAGGATGAGCAAAAAAGAGATGACGAGTTGCGTCCGCTCGCCGTCAGTCGCCAGTCGTACTGCCAATGGCAACATGACCCGTTCAACCATAAAAGCGAGCAAAATACTGATCCCAAACACCAATGGTAACTGCAAGGCGTAGATTGTCTTTCGCTTGATCGCCTTTCTTGCGTGCGCAGTCCAGCGAAAGAAAAGAAAGGGCGTTAGCAAACTGCTGAGAAACCAAGCCACATAACTTATGTTTCTCAGCGCTTGCCCTCTGAAGGCAAAGTGAGAAATAACAGTCTCATTAAAGTGTATGGGTGTGTCAACTAGGAGGATCCACTATTCTCCTGTCCGGAAGCGATGCAGGGCTTGGCCCATATCGCCTTCAGCCATCAGGAACAAAAGCGCAATATAGCCGGCCAGTGTCAGCAGCCGCCTCAGGAAGTCAATCAGGATCCAAGGCAGTGTAACGCTCTTATCCTCACACGTCTGCCAGACTCCCACGCAGAACAGCGCCCATGCGATTGCAAAGACCAATGCAGTTGCCAGTTGAAAGAGAAGGAGACGAGCCACTTGCCGCATTGTCTTGATGAAAGGCTCAGGAGTGAACGCTATCCCGACAAGCTTCTCTTCGACCTCCCCGCTGTCGTTGACTCGCGTCTCGTATCGCAGGGTAGTGGGGACCTCCTCGTAAGCCGCCGACGTGCTTCCTGCCGCCTCATAGAATTGAGCCACCATCTCGCTCAGCTGCCTCGCTTCTTTCCTCCTCTCGCTGCGATGATCCATGGACACATCAATGTCATGCCCATCTGCCGCCTCTCCAGGTGGTTCACACGCCCAATTCTCACTGCTGGGTGGCTGATTCCGCTGCTTATTGTCTTGACGACCTGTGGGGACGTCGACGAGGGGGGCCTCGTGCAGCCCAATGTTAACGTTGATGTCGCTGGGAGTGACCCCTGGCGCACATTCTGTGCCAAAGCAAACAGCCGCACCTTCGTTCATTTCATTCAAGTTGAGTGTCATGGGGGCGTAGTAAGCTCGCACTGGCAGTCTCGTGGGGGGCGCCCCCTCTCTCCGACTCAGTCCTCGGCAGACCTTGTGGGTTTTCCGAGTGGTGTTCAATGGCTGATCTGGTGATCGACCCCAAAGACCTGACTGTGAGCGACAAGGAGCTCGGTCAGCACCACTCGCCCACCCAGCGAATTCATTGGCTGCACGGATGGGTGTGTTTGTTTGTCATCCCGTTCCTTAGGAAGTGGTGGGTTCGGGGTTGTCCGTCGAGGGGAGCTGCGAGGGCGGCCCGTGGCTGTCAAAATCTACAAAGCACATGAAGAGCTCGACCAAGCGGTGCCCAGCAAGCAGGAGCCTCGGCAAACCTCCCCCTCTCTGTTGTTGGATCGGTGTGTCTGTGTGCAGTCGCAGTTCATGGAGGTGCTCAAGGAGGCATTCCCCATGGCTCAGCTGCGACACCCCAACATAGTGCAGCTGCTAGGCGTCTGCCGAGACGACAAATACGGACTCATGATTGTCCTTGGTACTAGGTAGCACTCCTCTCCCCCATCGGCCTTGTCCCTTCTGGTGTCTCCTTTTGTCATTCTCGTCAGAGTTGTGTAAGGGCGGCTCCCTGGCGGCTTATCTGGCCAAGAACGGACCACTGCCGTCCGACGTGCGAGACAGATTCGCCAAACAGGTCAAAAGGAGTGCAGAGGGCTTCTTGCGTCTCCATCATCTGTGTGTGTGTTGGTCACAGATCTGTGAGGGTCTGCAGTACTTGCACGACCAGGGCATCGTCCACAGAGATCTGAAACCGGAGAACATTCTTGTCGGTCACGACAGAGAGCCTCTCTTTCACAGAGTTCCAGAACTCTTGTTCTCCTCCTACTTGTTTGTCTGTCAGTTGAGTGAAGGCCTTACTCTGAAGATATCGGACTTTGGGATGATTCGGGGCGCTCAGAGAAAGACAACACTCACTTTTGTTGGAGGGACCGCAAACTATATGCCCCCCGAGGGCTTCGACACAGACTGTAAGCAAAGCGAGTCGATGTGACTGGAGGGCCTTATGGTTGTGCCTTTCAGTGGACAAGTTGACCGTCAAGGCGGACATATGGGCTTTGGGCGGCAGTAAGCCATCCCACAACTATTTCCTCATCGCCTCTCCCTGATGCATCTGTGTGTATGTCCGTCTTCAGTACTGGGAGAAATTCACGGAGGTGAGCAGCAAATCCTCTGTAACATAGCCCAAAGACAGAAAGCGCCACGACGAACTTTGCGTGCAGGTCGGCCTCCCTTCAAGGGCAAAGGCACGGCGGTGATCGTTAAGAAAATCGTCGTTGACAAGGAGGTATTGAACTGATCTGGCATCGAAAACCAATAGTCGTCTCCCCTCTGCCGCCTCATTATCCATTCACCCGTGTCTCCCTTTCTGTCAGGTTCCTGACATTCCCATCTTCCTGCCCCAACACACCAAGGAGGCCATCAAGGCACATGAAAATGAAAGCGGCCTTATGGACGCTGTGTCTCGCGCCATTGCCGCTTTGTGTCAATCAGAGTTGTTTTGCGTTCAATCCGGCCGATCGCCCGACAGCGACGGAGGTATTCGACATACGACTGGGTTAAGCGTACGCCATGTCAGTTTGTCGCATCTGACTCGCCAGCAGGTGCTTGCGAAGCTCGGCATTTCATCGAGTCAGTCAACAGTACAAAATGCGGCGCCGGCCGTCCCCCCTGCCGCCGTGAGTCCCGTTGGCGTGTCGCCCATCAGCCCCACATCGGGTGTGCACACCAGCATGGCCAGCACTACAACGGGGCTGCCCAGCACGGTCTCTCCGGCACAGATCAAGCCTGTGGTCCCGTCAGAGGAAAGAGGTCGGTATATGAGGCAGCGGCAGAGAGAGACACTCCACTTGATTTGCGTGTATTGTAGCGTCTCCTGGTCGGCCTGACGCATCAGCCGAGTCACCTCCGAAGGCACCACAGCCACAAACCAAAGCCGTAAGAGAACCGTTGCCAGACAACGGAGTCCTACCAATGGCAAACATTTCTCTTTCGCTGTTGCATGTCGGGCGGACACCGTCCTGAGAATCGATAATGAAGCCCTCCCGACGAAGATCAGACGGGTAATACCGAAAGGGCACAGCTGATCGTTCAGGCCTCACACAGTCGCTTGTATGTGATGTATGCTGTGTGTTGAAGAGAAACATTTACTCTGCGGTGAGAGCTGGTGACGTCACGTCTGTTGCTGAGCTAATCAAGCTGCACGGACCGAGCATCCTCGACGAGGAAGAAGTCACGTGCTTCTGCTGCATAGTGACGCACTTCCGACTTGCACGCGCAGCAGAGACACTCGACTTGTATTTTCATACTGCAGTGGGACACACCCTTCCTTGAAGCTGCTGAGAAGGGTCACGTTGGCGTCATGAAAGTCATGTATGAGAGCAAACTTGACGTACTGCAGCAAACAAGCGGGGTACCGAGACATACAAACCATGATCTGTGCTGCTGGTGAAGAGATGTGTTGGCTGTGATGAAATACAGATTGGTTTTAACGCCCTGCACTACGCTGCCTCCAAGGGTCATGTTGCGGCGGTCAATCAGCTGCTGGCGTGGGATCTCAAACTGATCGATGCACGCAACAAAGTGGTAAGAGAGCACACACATGTCTCTGACACCTCAGTGTGACGATTGTGTGTGGACTGTGTGTGTGTGTGTCTGTGTTGATTGCAGTTTGGCATGACGCCATTCATCAAGGCTGCCGCGGGTGGTCATGTCGATGTGCTGAAGGCTCTGTATGCCAAAGGAGGGGAAGACCTTCTCACTCAGAAGGACAATGTGAGACCTCATGCGGGCGAAACAGAAAGAGAATGCCTCTCATCTGATTGATTGCCTTTCTTTTGTTTGCATGACACACACAGCATCGCTGGACGCCACTCCATTATGCTGCAGTGGTGGGCGAATCTGCAGTTGCGTCTCAGCTGTGAGCGACACAGACGGATGACTGACGCGAATGTCTCCCCCACTCTCTCTCTGTCTCCGTGTGTCACTCCCAAAGGCTCGAGTGGGGCGGCGGTGCTCTGCTCGACATCAAAAACAACTATGTGAGTGCACACAGACATTCACACCATCGATGGGTCGAGTCATGTGCTCATCTCATCTCATGACGACAGGGCGACACCCCGTGGGGCGAGGCGAAGAACAGGCCGGAGATCAGAAAGATCATGGAGAAGTACAAGCGATAGTCACTGTGTGGTGATGGCTGTGGTCTTATTTCTTCGTGTGTGGAGTGTGTAAGGCCCTTGTGTCTCTCGTGTGTGTGGCGGGGAGTACTCTTTGATAAGTCTGTGTGCGACTGGATGGTCCACTTGCTGAGTGCTCTCTGATGTGCTCACCGGTCAATTGAGCTCCGACGGGGCGGACAGAGGCGCAGGGATCCTTTGACACAAAAAAGGCCTCGCCTTCTTCGGCACAGATCTCACCCCCTGGCAGCGCCTGCCTCTTTGCGTGTTGAGTGAGTGAGGGGGGCGGCTAGTGCACTCTTTCCTTTGGTCGGGTGTGGTGTACTGCTGGTGGTCGTCCGTCTGTCTGTCTGTCTCTATCGAGTGGATGTGTCGAATCAACAACAGCTGTGGGCACACAGTTAGTTAGAGTTGCGCATGGCGCTCAACGCATGGACGTCCAACAAAGACAGACAGACAGACGCCACGGACGAAGGCACTCATTCATCCAGCCACCCATTCAGTCATTCACGCATTAAAACTCACACACACACACACACACAGAGAGAGAGAAGACAAGACGAGACGAAACAAAACACCCGTTTTGTACGTCCGTCTTGCTCACGCACCAATCAGTGGACTCTCCTTTACTCGTCGGCTTATATGCAATGACGACTGGAGGAAGGGACCAGCACTCACACCACACACGCATTCACACACCATGACGCTGGCTGCCGGTATGTGTCATTATCCGGCTGCGTGTGTGCCGCCGAAAGTCTGCTGCTGGGGGTGCAGCGGGGAGGCCTCGGGCGATGGGTGGGGGGACGGCACGTGGGGAGCCGCCGGGTGCAGTGTCTGCTGTGCGGTGGGGGAGGGTGTGTGGCCAGCTGCTGTGGCTGCCTGGTGCTGCTGTTTGGCGCTCTGGACGGCTATGTCCTTCCAGACCTTCTCGATGCGCTCGGCCTCCTTTGGCTTGAAGGCACCGCTCTGCTGCCACTGGTGCAGCTGCTCGTGGCCTGATAGATCCAACCACAGAGAGAGAGACGTGTGTGTGTGTTGGGATGTGTATGCGCCCCCACAGACAGACCGATTTGCTGCAGGAGTGAGAGGATGGCTGTGTTGCACTCGTCGGTTGAACAGTCGGTCTTGTAGACGCGCGAGAGGATGCCCACGAGGCGGGGGAGGTGACAGCGGTTGGGGCCCAACACGCCCTCGTGGTTCTGAGGAGACACACAGAGGAAGAAAGAGGCCGATGGCGTCCGTGTGTGGCCACCCGTCCACCCACCCTCATACGCAGCACACACACCTGGTTCATCAGCTTCAGGAGCTTCTCGTGCACCTTCTGTCCCTCCTCGGGATCGGCCCTGAGCGGCAGGTGGTCGAGCCAGAAACCGTAGTGCTGCTGCAGTGTCATGCCGCACACCGACGCCCCGCCCGATAAAGCAGGCGACTGAGATCCGCAGTTGACGAGGATCTCGCCGTAAGCCGACACGGCATTGTCGATCGCTGGCTGCACACACACACACACACACACACATGGGTGGATGGATGGATGTGTGTGTTGGGTTCTTGCCTGCATTTCTTTCCGCTTCTTCTGTGTGGTGTTCTTGTCCTGCTGCACTATGACGTGGTGCAGCCTCTCCAATGCCACCTGAGTGGGTGCAGACACACACACATGGATGGATGGATGGAGAGAGAGGTGAATGGTTAGGCACTCACGCACCTGGACGGCCGGCACGAAGGCACTCAGCCTCGACGCAAGCGACACCTGCACTCACCCATCCATCCATCCGTCTATCATCCCACACGCACAGAGGCAGATGCAATGGTGTGTGTGTGTGTGGCGCACCCCGTAGCAGGCTGGTTGTTTGATCTCCGTGTGGTCGTCGAGGACACAGTCGAGCATCTTGGCCACGAACTGCTGACCCCACTCGTGGAAATGACGATCCTGTTTGTGTCACACAATCATCCACACACGAGTGCACACACGTGTCTGTCTGTCTCTCTCTCTCTCTGCGTGTGTGGCGTGGCTGTGTGTTCTCGTGCCTGGAGGTGCTCGAGGAAGTCGCAGATGAAGTAGAGCCCGAGAGCCCTGTCGGCGACGCTGCTGTTGGGCTGCAGAAAGTGACCCACATAGGGGATCACCTTTGACGCACTCGTCTAATGGACACATCAGATCATTCCAAGAGCAAAGGTTGCTTTGTTCTGTGTGTGTGTGTGTGTGGGTGTCTTTGTGTGGTTACGCGCAGGAATGCGTCAGGGTAGTGTTTCATGATGACGGCGAGGACCTCGGCCAAACTGCTGCGGAGAGACTGCTCCTGCACACACACACACACACAGACACAGCCACAATGTGGTGGTCCATCCCTCCCTCCCTGTCTGCCTGTGTGTGGGTTTACTGACCGCTTCTTGTTCCTCTTCGATGAGTTCCATGTCATCCTCAACCTCCTCTGTGTCACCCTACACGCCAACGCACACACACACGAGTCGACCGACACGTAGAGGGAGAGAGGTGGGTGTAGGGCGTACCGGTTCCTGCGGTGTTGGCTTGTCCTTTTCCCTCTCGATGCGCCTGTGGGTCGCCTCGGTCAGCTGCGTTATGGTGCACTCGCATATCCGGCTTAACTGCACACACACATTGTGGTGGGGGGCGTAGGTGTGTGTTGGTTTGATTGGTTGCTGACTTGGTCGTCGTTGAGTACGCCGCCCTTTGCGGCGGCGATGCACCTGGTGATGCCCATGGCCTGCGCTCGAAGATTGTCCAGGTCCTCCTCCTCCTACACACCGGCACACACACATCTCTCTCTCTCTCTCTGTGTGTGTGTATGTGTGTGAGAGGTGGAGGGTATAGGTGCTGTGCCGACTGACCTCCATGCATTTGAATATCCGGTCGATGGCCTGCACGACCATGTTGACGAGCAGCTCCCTCTCAGCGGCAGGCTGACCTTGCTGAGACGCCTCACGTTGCTGAATCAAGGAGTGGAGTGCCACACAGAGAAAGTTTCATCCATCCATCGGTGAGCCGCTTCATCGATGTGTTTGCTGACCTCGACGAGTTCTCGTGTGACTCTGATGAGCTCGGCCATGGCGCCCACCGCTTTGGTCTTGACGTCATCCGCAAAGTGAAACGACAGCAGCGCCACGACAGCCTAATGCACACAGCGGAGAGGGAGGGAGTCCAGGTATGTGTGTGTCTAAGTGAGCATGTGTGTGTGTGTCAGTGTGTACCTCTGTGGTTGTGGGGATGTATTCCCTGAAGTCGGTGCCTGCGACGAGATAGAGAAGGAATGGGACAGCAGCGCTGATTGGAACACTCACGAGTGATTGTTTTCTGCGCCGCCTACCGAGCACTTCCAAGAAGGTCTTGATGATCGTCACCGCCCTGCACACACCATAATCCATGCATTCACCACACCCACACAAGTACACAGCCATGTGTCTTCGTGTGCTGACTGCTGGATGTCCTCGACGACAGTGGTCTTGAGCCCCATGCACTTCTGGTCCACCATGGCCAGCGACATGTCGTCGATTTCGTCTTCGGGCGTTGCGTCGGTGTCCACCTCCGTCGCCTGTGTCCTCAGCGTGCTCAGGTAGTGCGGCATCAGCACAGCTGCACGCACGTACACATCCATCCAGTGTCTGTGTGTTGTGTGTTGTGTGGTGTGTGATGGGTTCCTTTCCTTACAGAGGTAGGGTATGAATTCCTCCTTGAGGACTCTGCACATGCGCGGGAAGGCCTCCTGGATGTACTCCTTCTGCGGATCGTCGGCGTCCAATCCGCTCTGATACGCACATCCATCCATCACACATTTCACATTTCCGTCTCTCTCTCTCTCTCTCTGTGTGTGTGTGTACCCCATAGACGGTTATCATGCTCTGCATGACCTCCTTGGCGTCATTGCGGAACGTGTCGCGGCCTGCACACAGACACATGCACACATGGATGGATGGATGGACGGATGGATGGATGGATGGACGGATGGATGGATGGAGAGGGTATGAGTGTGTGTCCGGACGTACCAACTGCGAGTCCGATGAGTGAGATGCACTCGTACGCTTTGCCACGCAGTCGACGATCATCCTTGGAGGTGCACTGACTGCAATGTATCACACGAGGACCCACACACACACACACACATGGGTGGATGGATGGATGGATTGTGTGGGCTGCGTGGGTACGCGAGGATGGTCTTGAGTAGCGGGATGATGTGTGTGTAGAACTTGATGAAGTGCTGCTCCACCACCCCAGCCACGACCGCTATCGCCGTCACACTGTGGTCCTTGATCGAACGAACTACAGGCACACATACACACATACACACACAAAATACATGTGCCTCTGGGTGTCAGTGTGTGGCCTGTAGCCCTCCTGACGCACTCACTTTGGTGTTGTCCGGATGCGGCGAGGAGTGCATAGAGGCGGTTCATGAGAGGGTCCACATGCGGCAGCAGTGTGGCCTCGTCCACATCCTCACCTATTCCACACAAAGACAGACACACAATACAATGCACACACACAAATGGATGCGTGTCTGTCATGGCGTGTGCATTGCATCCATCATCTCTGTGTGTCGTTGACTCACCGAAGTTGACAAATGCGGCCGCTGCATGACCACAGACCTACGTATGTGTACGTGCACACAGACGAACATTCTCATGTGTTCATCTGTGCGTCCGTCCACCCATGTATCTGTCTGTCTGTCTGTCTGTGGAATACATCCCCACCCACCTTAGGCTCTGGGTCGTTGAGCGCCTTGACGATCGCAGGCAGAATCTGACAGACATACACACACATCGGCCGGTGCATCCACCCATCCATCCGTCTGTCTATCTATCGACATAGGCACCTGTTCGGCGTGGTTGTCCTGCACGTGAGGGTTGTGGTCGAGCGACACCTGTCCTATCGCGTGCAGCGCCGCAAAACGCACACGGGGGTGGACGTCCTCAACATTCTTTATGGACACACACACACACACACACACACACAGAGAGAGAGAGAGAGAGGGACAGAGAGATATATACAAATGTCTGTATGTATACATATTTGTATGTATGTATAATGTATATGTATGTGTACACATATGTGTATATGTGTATATGTACGTATACATCTTAGATTTAAGTATACACATATATATACGTATCGTATAAGTGTTGCGTATTGGTGCCATCTATCCATCGACTCAGCGATCCATCCATGGCGTATAGCTGTCTGTCCGTCTGTCTGTCTGTCTGTCACGCAGCCATGGTTGCTGCTTACGGTGAGTAGGACGTGGATGATTTTGGGCAGGTAGCTGTCGAGCTCGTCCTCGTCGATGTACTCAGCCACCTGCGAGATGCTCATGATGGCCACCAACTTGTGCTTCCAACTGTTGTGCTTGGAACCCTGATAGGGGAGGGACCACAGTGGGACGTCGTACGCCTTCGTGTGTCTGTGCGTGTTGTGTTACCTGCTCCAGAAAGACGCTCGCGTTTCTGCACCCACACAGTGATCCACACACAGATGCTCAGACGCAAGGATGCATCCCTGTGTGAGTGTGCGGATGGGATGGCTGCACTGGCTGACCTGAAGACATGGGGGAGTACGTCTTCGGCGCCCATGTTGTTGGCAATGCGGTCCAGCGCCTCCTCACCCACGTCGTAGTTCGTCGTATCCTTAACACACACAGACACACACACACATCCGTCCATCCATCAATCCATCCGTCCGTCGCAGATGTGTGGGTGTCTGACGCACCTCGTCGTCGTCGTCGTCATTTTGTTGCCACTCGGGGTCGTCCTCCACCTCGAGCATCAGCTCCATGCAGGCCGGGACGAAGTGGTCCACAAAGTGAGGCACCTTGCCCATCCTGACACACACATAAATACCACAACACACAAGTGGGAGGGGGAGAGGGGGGGGACGTGTTTCGTGTGGGAGAGTGCTCACTGCTTACGCTTTTGGTCTCTGCTGGGCGAGTGTGAGCAGAAACTCCACGGCGAGCTGCCTGTGTGCGGACACACACGCACAGAGAGAGATATGCAGCCACATTCACAAACACGCACTGTGTCTGCGTGTGTTTTCCCTTCTAAGCTCCGCCTGTGCACACCTGATGTCATCTTCGTATGTGGAGGTGCTGAGATGCAACACACACCACAGAGAGAGGGAGGGGATCACATAAACAAACAAACATTTCGTGTGGGGTTCCCAACAGACAGACAGACAGACAGACAGGCATACCCACCGTATGTATGTGAGCATTTGTGTGACGATGCCGGGAAGGTGCGGCTTGAAGAAGAGCGCCTCGCTCTCAGCCATCGTTATCATGTCCTCAATCACCTCCCTAAACACACACACACGCAAGGAATACATCTGTGTGTGCGTCTGTCTGTCTGTCTGTCTGTGCTCACTTGGCGTGGTCCAGGTGCTTCTTCTGGTCCTGAAGCATCATACCTAAAACAGGTGGGCGGATCGACCGAATGATCGCGCCACTCGTGACATTTATCTGTGTGTATGTGTGTGTGCCCTACCCAGGGAGGCCATGATGTGAGGCAAACTGCACCGCACCCAGCCACACACGACGATCCACACACACACGTCAACGGATGTGCCTCCCTCCCTCCCTCCCTCTTTGTTTGCCTCCTTTGTGTACCTGCCCTGCAGTTTCTTCCAGACGGGGCGATCCAGACTGTCGACCACTGCACGAATCAACCCGATGCTCTCAAACCTGTCACACACACACACACACACACACAGAGAGAGAGAGAGAGAGAGAGATGGACGGTCGTATGGATGCCCCTTTTCACACCCCCCATCCCCCGTGCCGTCGCGTACCTGACTGAGAAGGAGTGTGTGTTCATGATGGATTGGCTGATGACCTGCGCCAAAGCGTCCTGGTGCTGCACAAGCGTCTTGGGCAAGTGGTCCTGCACACAACCACACGAAACACAACACAGCCAAACCAACGACAAGCAAAATGGGGTTTGTGGGTATGCTTGTGGTCCTGCAAGCCTACCACACACTCCTTGAGCACTTTGAGCCCCGCCGTGCGCTTGTCGGCATCCTCACTCTGGACGAGTGAGAACAGCTCCTCGGTCAGCGGCAGCCAGCCCTTCTCTTCGTCACCCGTCAGCTGGCCCGCCATCTTGCCAACAGTGTCGCATATCTGGTCCTGAAAGGCACACATAATCGCATCCACCATCGAAAGACAAACAAAGCCCACAATGCTGACCATGACGAGGGTCGAGTTTTCTGCCTCGATGCTGTCGACGAGGGCGGTCTTGACGGCCTCCTGTGTGTGGGGCGAGAGGCGGTTCCAGATGTTGTTGGTCTCCTTGCCCATCCAGAACTCCCGCAGTGTGGTCCGGAGGTAGATGCAGGCGTCGCGCCGCTTGTTGGGGTCGGTGTGGGTGCGCAGCACCGTCAGCAGCAGAGTGATGGTGCCGTTGGGGTCCTGCTGCTTGAGCGACTCGAAGGCACTCTCGGCCTACAGACACATGAATAATGAGATCCACACACATGGCATGGTCTCTTTCTGTCAGCGGACAGAGGGAGTGATCTCTCTCTTTTTCTGCATGTCTGTGTGTCTGTGTGTCTGTGTGCCTTTGTGTGTGAGAGAGTGTGCGCTTCCCTCCCTCCCTGACTGCCTGACCCACCTGGGATCTGATGGCATTTTCGGGCGACTGGAAGGCGTCCAGCAGCTGACAGAACTGGTGCAAGTCCATCTTATTGATCTCACAAGCTCTCCCTCATACAACGCTTCCACACAGAGGGGCAGATCTCATTCACACGAAGATTGACAAGCTCGCAATCGTCAAGCGCGCATCAGGTGGAGCGCGCTTTTCCTCCCGCCGCAGAGTTCCGCAACAAAGGCCGACAGTGTTTGCAGTTCACTCGAAAGGCTGTGAGAAAATCATCCATCCATCCGTCCTGATGGCATCTTCTGCTGAGCCCCACCACCCACCCGACTCAGCAGCACAGCCGCCGTCGGAGGCATTGGCAGAGCCGTCGAGCCCCGGGAGGAAGACCGGCAAGAAGAAGAAGCGCGCCGAGACGGAGACCTACACCAAGGCACGAGAGCTGGCCATCCAGACAGCCCTGCGCACGGGGCTGGATGTCGACAGGAGCAAGAAGCTGGAGGAGGTGGCGGCGCTGTTTGTGGTGTTTGACCAGGACGGCAATGGACTGCTCGACATGGACGAGTTGGGGACGCTGATGCGGGCCATTGGCCTCTTTCGAAAGAAGGACGAGGTGCAGGAGCTGTTTGACCGGTTTGACGACGACAAGAGCGGCCTACACAACCTGGAAGAGGTCAGTCACTCAGCCATCCCATGCAGCGACACTCACTGCCAGGCAGTGCCAGCACAGACACACACACACAGAGAGAGAGCCGGCAGCATAATGTGTGTCCGTCCATGTGTTTTTTTGTAGTTTTTGGAGATGTTGGCTTTCATATTGGCCGAGGAGGGCAAAAGCGGCGAGGCCTTTTCGCTGCGCAAGTGGCAGCCCAACGAGCTCAAGGAGTTGGAGAAGGCCCCCTCGAAGCTGCGGCTCATGACCACTCTCAGAGTGGTGCTCGACTTCCTCAAAGACGACTTCTTCACTGTAAGTCTATGAGGACGTTTATATTCGGATGGGTGTGATTGGATGGGTGTGAATGTGGCACAAGACACACGCGCTCAGAGACAGAGACACAGACAAACGAGGAGCAAACCAGCAGAAAGATGCAGCCGCGTTTCTTTCCTCCCCCGCTGTGTTGCGTGCAGGTGCGCAATGAGTCGGCGAAGAAGCTCAAGGACAATGATTTGTTCGACAAGGCGTCCGAGACGCTGCAGCGGCTGATAGAGGAGATACAGTCAGAGAGGGAAAACGTTGAGCACCTCCAGAGCGACCTCAAGCTCTTCAAAGACACACTCACCGTGGGCAGGCGGACACCTGGAGGCATTGATGTGAGTCATCACTTATGTGTGTATGTGTCTGTGTGTTTGTGTGTGTGTCTGTGTGTGTGGCGTCTGGGCCTGTGCACGCAGCGGAAGCACGAACAGGGTGAGGAGTGCGCCGGCACCTTCACCAACGAGAGACAACGGCTCCTGCAGGAAATGGGTACTCCCCTCCCCACCCCCACGCCACACGCACCATCCCTCTGTCTGTGGTTGATGTCATCATTCAGTTCAGCTTGAGAGCGTCAAGAAGACTATCGAGGATCAGCTGGCGGCCACTCAGGATGACTTGGCGGCGTTGGCCAAGGAGAAGGAGGACAGCGAGGCGGCGCTGCGGTTGAGGACGGTGGTGCTGGAGGAGAGTGTGGCGCAGGCCGCCTCGCGCATCGACACCGGAAGGCAGACTGTGACAAACTTCATGACCAAGTAAGTCTCTCTGTCTGCTGTGTGTGGCTTGTTTGTTATGTGATACCTCTCTGTGTGTCTAAAGGCTTTATGAGAAGGATCAGCAGATAGCCTACCTGCGGGAATATCACACCAAGTGAGATCAATGCACACACAGCACGTGGATGGCGCAGACACGTGGGTGCATGTCCTCATGTTAAGGTACAAGGACGCGTTGGCCGAGGGTGTTGAACTGAAGCGGGAGAATGCCCTCCTCAAAACTCTGCTCGTGCAGGTGGCTGACGCTACACGGGTAACCACATCCTCACACAGACAGACAGACAGACAGACACAGAGAGAGAGAGAGAGAGGCAATGCGCTCATGCTCTGCTCTGCTTTCCTCTCATGGTGTGCCGTGGTGTGTTGTGTGTCAGCATCATTTGCCCGAGCAGGAAGCCGCCCTCAACACCGCACTCAGAGAGGCACACCAAGTCAGTGGGTGTCTTGTTCCTGTGTGTCTCGGCTGTGTCTATATCCACTTGTCTCTCTCTGTGTGCCTTTATTGTGTGTACTGTGCAGGTGGTGGAGACGATTGATGCCGCTCTCGCTGCTGAGGCTGACTTTGTCGTGGACGCCTCGCGGCCCGTCGAGGAGCTCATGGCTTTTGACAAGGTGCCGAGACGGCCGCGGACACTCCACAAGGCGGTACGATGACACGACAAGAGCCACGACAATGACAAGATAAGCAGCCGTCATATCTCTGCATGTGCCAGTAACACTGCCGGCCTTACTTTGTCTGTGAAAAGAAAAATGTGTGTGTGGGGGGGGGGGGGGGGGGG